CCTTCTCTTCTAAGTTTTACCATAAGGAATTGATGAATTAGTTACATCATACCTTTGATTGGAATTTTTCATTTATTGGAAAAGCCTCAAAGCAATTTCATTCAACCAAAATCAGTTCACAAGGGAGCATTACTTTTAAAGAGTCATGTAGCAACTAACAAGGCTTGAACTTGATAAATAAAGAGGGAGTTAAAACGATCTAGCCTCCTTGAACCGATGGGATCCAGGATGGAGATTGCCCTTGTGGGGGTGGGGATGGAAGTCCCTATCCTGCATCGGCCCTGATTATATATATTGAATATTATATTATATATAATGTTATTTATATATTATAAACATAATATATTGAAAGTATTATTTACATTTTAAATTTTTCTTTATTTCAAATAATCTTATTTTTTAAAAATAATTTTAACTAAAAAATTTTAGGTATTCAAATCCCAATGGAAAAACTGTCTCTGTTGAGGACCAGGGATGGAAGATAACTTTTATCCTTGACATGAATTAGGGTGGGGGGATTTTCTCAAATCCACCGGATTGCCATTCCTAAATGAAATATAGAATTTCCATCTCTGTCATCAAAAGGAGGACCCCTGCAATCCCAAATGAGAGGCTGGATACACCACGGAACGAGAGGATTACAATTCAAAAGGGCTTGAGTAATTATTTTATTACCCCATTCCATTATAACATTAATTCTTAAAATGAATACTTAAAGCCAAGTTGATCTCTTCTAGAAAGCTAAAGCTTCTGTCTTCTGATTCTTAAGGAGATTTACAAAATTTGTTATTAATAACTTTACAAGTCCAAGCAAATGGCCCTGTTTGGGAAAGGTCTCTTTGCATCAAAGTGGGAATAGAAAACAACAAATTTTTTATATCCATCTGGTCAGACATTTTATATTGAATGCTTTGCATCTGCCTCTATCGAATCCAAATTGCATTTCTCCATCTAAGCAAGGGCTATCCTTTGCATTGGCCATTTATATGTATGTAGTTGCATAATGAAAAGGATGATTCACCTAATTGCGATTATTGCTGAGATGGGGCAGATTCCTACTTAAACACACATTTTCTTAAGACATGGTACGAATATATATTCAATGCGCTCTCGTTTGCATGAAATGGTATTTTCATTCATGTTGACTTATATATGTCCGATTATTTATATATCCGTAAATCCAGCCGCTGGATGGAAGGATAAAGAAAGAAATTAACCTCCGAATGGCTGAACTGAATTCCTAGGGGTTTGTCTTTTACTAAATACAATTGTTATATAATCAAATATTTTTCTTTTGTTTTTTTTTTTTTTGAAGAATATATAATTAAAAATTTAATAGTAGCAAAATCCGAACTCAGAGATGCTAAGCACCCTTTTTAAAAGACAAAGTGATAATCATTGTGGTAGGTCAGCCAATTCATTCATTTTTCCTGTTTGGGGTGTCAATCGAACTGGATTTGGTTCAATCCCATCCAGTTTAATGTGAGTACATCATTATAAATGGATCATGTTCAATCCAATCTATTGAATATTTTGGATTAGTCCAATTCAATGTCTGAATTCAAACCCAATTCATTAACATTTATATTTTTATCTTTTATCAATGGATCAGATATTATCTCAATCCAATCTAATCCAATATAAATTTATTATCGATAGACCAGGTTTAATCCAATCCTATAAATAGTTTGGACCATTAAGTTTGAACTGATCCAATTCAATCAATATTTTATTGGTCCATTCAATCCATCTAAATTGATTTTGGTTTAGACAGGTCCAATTTAAAATCGATCCATTGACACCCCTATTCGTGTTTAGCTTTGATGTATGTAGGTGACAAGTGGTTTGAACCTAATCACTTTTGAAAATCCATGTAGGCTGTTACAGGTCGACTCTCATAGGGATATATAGTGGTGGTGTGATACCTACCATATGGAATTTAGGACCACAATATATAAAGATTTTCTGTTGTTTTCTGGTTAGTTAGAATGCCATTATATATTGTGCTTTCTCCTCATTTTTTATTTATTACCAAAACTTCCCCCTTTCACTTTTCCTCATTTTTCTTAGGACTTGTTATAAAAAAAATAATAACAATAAAGTTTGATGAATTAACAAAATCAGATATCTTTCAAAAAAATTGCAAAAATGAACTTTTTGAACGAAATTGTCCTCTCTTAAACTACATGCCATTGTTCATCGTCTCCCTCCTTCGAATGCCACTGTTCATCGTCTCCTTTTCTCCGTCCGACTTCCAACATTTTCCCGATCAACATGAGTGGTGATGGAACCTGATGTGAGAATTGAGAGCGGGTGCATGATCTGCATTTCAATTACCCCATTGTTGCGAAGGGGCTGAAACGATGGACCGATGACAAATATATGTATTGAGGGTGGGATTGAAACGATGGAAGAGCGGACAACAGATCGATACAAGTTCTGGCGAGTGCTAACATAACCCATTTCTTTTTTGGCTTGGATTGAGGGTCACTGAGAGAAAACAGGAGCCCGATATGGATCAGACATTCCATGTCAGAAAGCCTGTAAGATCCATGCACCCATGAGCCTGCCATCCCCAGCTTGTAAGCACCTGCCCTCATCAGATAGCTGTCTTATCCAGTCAAGCAGGATTATCTGCTCATCTGGGTATGTGAGATCGATCGCTCGCCGACCAAAGGCCACTTAATTGCAAGATAACAATCCCAAACCTGAAAACATCAGACTTTGCCGTCGCAATACTTCGTTTCTGGAAGCTCTCAGGCAGTAGATACCCAATTGTGCCACCGATCCTGGTTGTGTCAGACAACCGAAACTGGTGGCTTCTTATTGGATATGGACTTGCGTACTTGGGGGTGGTTGGACATTCAAGCACATGCTCCAGCCACGACACCAAGCCAAAGTCCCCAGCAGGGCATTGAAGTGGGAGTCAAGCATCACGTTGCTTGTCTTCACATCCTGAGCCATTCTTAGTCCTCTCCCTGTTTCTCATGGGAATAATCAATGAACAGTGGTGATGAGCAGGAGTTGGGGACTTGGGGGTATTTTAGTTTAGAAAAAAAGCAAAAACCTTGTTTATTTATTGTGGTTATATGTTTTGAAACATATCTGATTTTGTTAAATGGTTAAAATTGGTTATTTTTTTACAAAAAACCTTTTTTCTTAAATATACCTTTACTTTTCAAAACCTCCATAGAGGCAGAGATCCACTGGTCAAGTTCTGCCATTTCCTGCAAATTCTTGTGCAACCTCTCTATATGTAAATTTTCCATGAACTGAACCCCTATTTGTCATTAGGGGTGTTCACGGATCGGGTTAGGTCGATTTGAGTCATTTTCTTCAACCGATTTGATTTAGTCGGTTTATTTATGGATTAAATCGAAACCAATTGACCTGATCTAGTCGATTTACTTATTGACTAAATCAAAACCAACTGATCTTGAAGCAAAACCGATCCAAACATGAAGGGTCGGTTTATCAGTTTAGTCGGTTTTTATATATATTTTAAACTAAAATATCTATTTATATTTAAGTTCATTTCTTTTTAGTTTTTATGCAAAATCAAAATATATATTTAAATTGATTAATTTTTTATGCAAAACTGATTTTTTTGTCAATATGTATTTAAATTTATACAAAACTGAATTAAATATTATACTATTGTATTATATTTGTATTAGTTTTAATTTTTAGTTTTTATCATAAATAACCAATTTTTTTCAAAGTTCAAACAAAACACAGATAAAATAAGCAACATTTAATATATGAGGTAGGGACTAATTAATAATTACTTAAACATATAGAATTGGTTCGGTTTGGTATGAAAATGAAACCGAATCGAGGAGTTGGTTTATTTTCTCATACAAACTGAAATCAACCGGTGGTTTTGAAAAACCGACCAACTTAAGTTGAGTCGGACCGGTTTGATCAGTTTGACTTTTAACGTAAACACCCCAATTTGTCATAAACTCGGTCTTCATTTTCACTTTTGAAATAAAAAGCAGAACTTGAAGAATCTAAGAATAGGGATCTAGAATCAGAATTGAAATGGGCCATTTCCATTCCAACTGTTAGGACGGATCTCCTGCCCACATAACACTACGGCTGTGTACATTGGAAACATCTCCAGCTGTAATGTCTGTGGATAGAAGTGTGCAGGATTCTTGTGCGCATGAGATCCGGAGTCTTACCGTTGATTTGCCACTTGGGATTAGTTTAATGAATAAAAACAATTATAACTGAGGTGAACAATGTCCGTGACCGTTAATCACTAACAATCACTTGATCGAATGTAAATATTAGATTAAAAAAATCAATGACAGTTGACAAGGGTCTCAGAGGTTTAAGAGATATGGAGAAGAGCCCGGGAGAGTTCTAAATAATTAATTTTTTTTTTTTTTTTTTTTGAGAAATGGGGGTTGCGGTGTAATTTTAAATTTCGGTGTGCTGACACTCATCCTGCCGTATGTCCTACGTCATCGCCACCTTGTCGTTTGTTTATTCGGAAGATTCTTGAGGCAAACTCAGAATCCTGATCCATTCATGGTCCAGATTCATCATCATCGGTCTAAATTCAAAGAAATTTCTTGTTAAAATACTTAATAAAGTAACTTTGTTTCCTTGGACATAATGGGAGGGAGAAATCCAAAACACATGTACATGTTAGTTAATTTTCTTAACCTTGATTAACGAGGGGCGAGGGCCCACCAAGTAGTAATTGCCATTTGCCAACAAAAAAATTGAGATTTACGACTGACACATATGACTTTTGAAATAAAATGATATTTATTATCCAATTAGGCAATAGTGAATGATTAATTTGGATTAACTAAAAACTGGGGCGGACAAATATAAATACGGCTGTGCTCTTCCGTTTCGTTTGCCTTCCATTTCCATACGATAGTCGAGACTCGAAAGTCGTCGATAGACAGTGCATCTCTCGCTTTGGGCTTGAGAGCTGAGAGAGCCAGCGGGAGACAGGAGTGACCTTCCAACACTCGTTAATGGCGACCAAAGTGTATATTGTGTAAGCTTTACTCTCTTTCACCGTCTTTTCTTAATTTCTCTTATGCATTCATTTCGACATTTTGGCTACTTCATATGAATCAGCTTCTTTCCTTTAAGAAATTATCTTCGATCCCTCTTTGCTTTTGACTTCTTCTCTATTTTCTTACGTTTTTTGGATCCCTTGATTATTGATGATCTTCTTCCTTTTCTTTTTTAAATGATATTTTGTTCTATGTTTCACTCTCTCTTTGCTCTACTCTTCTTTGCTTCGATGGTTAAGGAATTCGGATCTGTACAATTTTCCTTCTCTTTTTCTTGATTATTTGTTATTGGGCCTTCGCTTCTCAGCTAGCTGAGCTTTAAAATGTTGAAAATTTTCCATTTCTCTTTTTGCATTTTCTCTTTTTTATTTTAATGCCGATGTTTTTGGAGTTACCGAAATCAAAAGAAATATTCGGAAGAAAATCGAATTTCATCAACTTTGGGGTTTTAATTTTGCACTTGGATTCTAGCTCCTCAGCTTGTTTGGTATTTTGTTTTCCGTCGCTCTCTTTAGCTTAAACTATTGGTCAAACTTCTTTTTTCTCGACAAACTCTTGAATTACTTCAATCTAGTTAAATTGATGTCTACAATTGAAATTTTGATTGATGGATATGTGAAATATGATATTACTTAACAAACCATGCTTCTGGTGATTTGTTTACGCTTTGTTGTAAATTTTCCCAGTCTTGTTGTTGTTGTTGTGATCATGACAAAAGAAAGATAGATTTGGACGAAGAGGAAAGAAAAAAAGTTACATGTACGAGAACCTTCATCCATCCTTCTTGTAGGACTCAGAGTCGTGTTTGATGCTTTTCCTTCATGGTCTTAATCCAAGTGGTTGGTTTGAGGATGTTTGTTTGTTTCTAGAAAGATCCCTTTCTATCCTTGTCAAAATTCTCTTTAGTGGCAGCCTTCTAAATCTAATTTGGATAGTGCTATTACTCCGATATTGATTTATAAAACCTCTTATCTTACTTTGCTTAATGTTTATTTGGATAGTTATCTTCTATTTAATTTGACAAATATTCTTTATGCAAAAAATGCAAGTTAAAAGAGACTCTTGGGAAAATGTACTGTTGAATTGTTCTAAACCAAACAGAACCTCCAAAAAGTAGAACTTGGTAATAACACCCAAATCTGTTGTCCTTTTGTTGATCTGAAGTTTGGTCCTTTGGCTGAAATTTCCAGTACTGTAGAATTGTTCTTACAGCTTTTAAATTTTGTTGAAACCCTTCTTTCTTATTTTCTTTATTTTTGAATCCTATCTCAAATGGAGACCAAAGTATGGAAACCTGAAAGTATGTAGTGGAAGGCTTTGCTGTAAAGGTCTCTACCTGAATTAGTTCTTTTATGTCTTGTCAGTTGTCATGATTTTTTATTATAAGTTCTTGTTGGCCTCTTGTCCATGCATGACTTATTGGGGTCATGGCACCAATCTTGATGTTTTTTGGTTGCCAATTCCATGAATTCAGAGGTAGACTGTCCATTTCTCTTTGATATTTTTTTAAGCCCCAAACTTTACTCCAGGTGGAGGGGCGACCACCTCAAGTTTTATTAACCATTATCAAACGGAAAATTAGGATAAACAGGGGAGGACATAGCCCGCCTTGCCCCATGCCCTGTACAAAAAGCACTCAACATCACCCTTTCAAACCCACCCAAATAAGAATAAAAGATACAATCAGGATTATCCAATCCTCAAAACGGGAAGACTAACATAATCCTCACGCAAAATCCTTCTAAGCTCTTCTGGGATATGAAGAACAGAATTAAAAAATGCATTGGACTTCAAATTCACTTCTCTTTGATATCTTGCTTACTATCTAGATTGTGGATTTTGGTATACGATATATACACGCTAATTCTTTTTTGTATTTTTTTAGCTTTTACTCCTTTACCTTGAAACTTTGTTTTGTCTCCATCAAATCATTGTTATTAGGATAATGTACTTTTCCCCTATTTTATGATGTAGAAACATTTTTTTCTTGTTCCTATTGCCAATTCTGGTAATTTGTCTATTAGGATAATGTACTTTTATGGAAAATTTGTCTATGATCAAATACCAAAATGATCCTGCAGGTATTATTCCATGTATGGACATGTTGAGAAGCTAGCAGAAGAGATAAAGAAAGGTGCTGCATCTGTAGAGGGTGTTGAAGCGAAATTGTGGCAGGTGTGTTGCTATCTCTCTGATCTCACTCTTCTATAGTTGAATAGTTGTAATAAATTGAATAATGGGTTGGTGTGATACATAATTGGATGAAGATGCCTATAGATCTGAAAGCATCTTCATATTTAAAGATTAACGCAAATGAAATGGAACCAAAGGAAGATGTAAGTGCCCTCTTATTGATGCATTGGCAAGAGTGCAGTAAAAATGCAACAACTTCTTGGTTTCAACTCTTCTAATGTAGTTTGTCCACCAAAAATAAAATTTATGGGATACAAATTGCTGGAAGTAGGGATGTAATCAGTCAGATTTGGAATAGAGATGGCTAAATTTGAGTCTAATCCAATTATCAAAAGCGTAAATCCAAATCTATCATATTTAGGGGGTGTTGGATCAAATGCAGATTCTATCGGATGTTTTGACTTTTCGGATTTAATCCAAGTCTACTTCGCCAATTTTAAAATAAATAAAATAACTTAAAACTATAACAAAATAACACATGTTGGCTCATACATATAAAACAAATTTATATGAATATAAAATACTGAATTTATTAATTGGATTGGATCTTCAGTCAGGTATTCAGGATTTCAGAGTCCATTGACAACTCTATCCGGAAAAAGAAGAAAGAAGATGCAATAGTTGGTAGGGAAAGTGTGGTTGCAGAATTGGTTTTGAATGTTCTTTCTAGTTCCAAAGCCTCTAGCCTATGAGTTACCTATCTAGTAATACCTTTGAACGAAAAAGGCATTTAGAAATGTTCTGTCATATGATTCAGTATTTTTGCAAAGCATTCTGGAAAGAAGATGTAGCTTAAATCAGATGTTAATGGAAACATCTTTTGATTTCTTCTATTCTCACTCTGGAGTTATTTTCACATTCCTAACGAAAAAAGATTAGCTTTCACTTGTCAAAACCAGGGAAATAGAAAATTGTTCACAGGATTAACAGAAGCTAATTTAACTTGGAAATGCTAAGGCTATAAGACGTGGATGCAATGCATTCCTCCATGAATGCTTCACTGAAGTGCTCCTCCTTATTTTTTTAATGTAGGATTTGCTAATTTATTCCTTTGATGGGAGTATCTCCTGTACTGCAGTGCAGTAATCTTCCAGTGCTACAAGGAAACTGCCAGATTTATTTATGGTTACTACTGTTGCAATAGTTGCTTTATAAACTTATTACTGAGATAGCAGCTTGTGTAATGGTCTTTAATGGTTACATGGAACAGGTTCCTGAGACACTTTCAGAGGAGGTGCTGGGGAAGATGAGTGCTCCTCCAAAGAGTGATGTTCCAATTATAACACCAGCTGAGCTTGCTGAGGCTGATGGACTTATTTTTGGATTCCCAACTAGATTTGGAATGATGGCTGCTCAATTTAAAGCATTTCTGGATGCAACTGGAGGTCTCTGGAGAACACAAAAATTGGCAGGCAAGCCTGCGGGAATCTTTTACAGCACTGGATCTCAAGGTGGTGGACAAGAGACTACTGCGTAAGTTCCTTAGTGTATGCATAAAAAATCCTTGTTAAATGGAAGATTACTTTTTCAATTGAATTAAAAACCATGTTTCTCTAATAATTTTGGATATTTTACAGGTTAACAGCCATCACTCAGCTGGTTCATCATGGGATGATCTTTGTTCCGATTGGATACACATTTGGTGCTGGCATGTTTGAGTTGGAGAAGGTGAAAGGTGGTAGCCCATATGGTGCAGGAACTTATGCTGGGGACGGCTCTAGACAGCCATCTGAACTTGAACTCGAGCAAGCCTTCCACCAAGGAAAGTATATTGCTGGCATTGCAAAGAAGCTCAAAAAAGGAGCTGCTTGATTTCTGTATACCCAAAACAACTACTGTTTGGAATTCCATACTTGCAACTATTTTTTAAGCATAATTTTAATTTCTAGTTGCCTGTGATCATATAAATAATGAGGGCTTTTATTTGATGCATTTCTTAGTCATGATATTTGTATGTGTTTGTTCAGTACAAGTGATTCCTGTTAATGATAAAGTATGCTAAATCTATTGATTTAGTCTTTACTTTCTCGATTCTTCAAGTCTGTTTTGCAAAGTTCGTAATTTAATAGCTAGTTTGTGAACCAGTAGAATTAATACATTAATTTTACCAGTTACGAGCTAGCTTTCAAGTTCAGAGATTTGTCAAACCAAATTGTATCCTCAGCACTTTAAACAAAATGTGATTACTTCGGTGCATTGACTGCAATTTTGTTGATAAAAGTTGTGTTGTACTTTCTTTTTATCTGTACCTTTTATTTCATCACCATATTTTCATCCAGCATGAATGCTTGTTGCTAGTTATGTTGGACAATTTGAGTCCATTATTCCACTACAAATGTATATTAATAAACATGACAACTTTTACAAAAGAGAAAGATAATCCCAGTGAGGATTCCAAGTAATGAAAATATGAAGTTCAGGATTATCCTTACACCTGACGTTCAGTATTTTATTTTTTCTTTGGGCTGGGTTGAGTGATCAGGGAGAGGTTATTGTTCAATGGATTTGGGACAATGTGGGTTATATACTCTAAATGTTTTTGACAATGGTTAAATAAAATTTTAAGGTTGCTGTCTCTCCACCAGGAAGGTTATTAAAGAAAGAAAAAGAAAGATGAGTGCCCTCTTCCCCTGGTAAACGGCAACATCTGGTAGCTAATCTTGTCAATGGACTAGAGCATCCTGACTATACCAGATTCATCCATATATTTAGTTGTGAGATTTGAAGGGAATTAGGTTTCATTTGGATTAGTTTTTGCTTTCGAGCTGTTGGCTGTGGAAAATAAAATTGAACCAACAAGAATTGCTTGTAAAAAGTGAAAATCTAAAGCCAAAATACTTTTAAGACCGGAAGCACAAAGCCTAAAATTGAGGATTTGTGAAGCTAATCCAAATGCAACCTTGCGTGTATCACTGGCATTTTGTCAACCGCTGGAGATTAGCCCCTTTTTAATTCATGATTTTGGATTGTTCATAAGTAATGGGATTATTAACCTACTCAACTCCAACCTAAAGTCAGGTATGAGCATGACTATTAACCTAATCTGTACAGCTGTACTGCCTAAAGGACATGCTGGGCTACTTAATTCGTTTGGCAGGACATGGAAAAAGAAGGCCAAGAGAAGGTTCCTCTGCATTCAATTTCAAGGTAACTTGCAAGAAAAGATCCATCTCAAGGACAGTATTCCTTCCCAACGAATTAATAATTCCACTACTTTCCCTTCCTGAAAGGAATCATCCCTCCTTAATGAAATCTTTAGGTAATATTTGAATTTGAATTTGGTTAGAAAATTAGATATCCGTCGGATATTGAAAATTAATATAATTTGAATTCAACCAATTAATTATTTTAGGTAGTTAATAAATATATAAAATAAGTATTTTATTTATATAAAGTATATAAATGATATAAAACATTTAAATTTTTATATATTATATATAAGAATTAAATAATTGGTCAAGTTTTGATATTTATCTAATCGAATCAAGTTATATCTGAATTCGACTGATTATGATATTTGAATTATCCAAATTCGATTTGATAATTTGAATTCAAATTCAAAATCGAATTTTCAAATATCATTGACATCCCTAATTGGATCCAACTCTTGTCAACATTCTGTGGGTTATGCGTGTTATAATTTATAAATAATCAGAATTTTATTGATGGAAAAATTTTAAAAGAGAACAAAGAAGTTCGTTTCAAATACCTAATCTATGTTCTATGATGATTACATTGCAGAGCTAATAATCAATTTTGGAATTTGCAATGGCATAGATATGTTGTAGATTAGGCATTTAGTGCTCATCAGTAACTATTTCATTTTTTCCTTGTGATCTTAATTAAATGATGCTAAGCCTATAGTGATGACCATGACTTAGCTTGGACCTTTCAGTTGTATCCACTATCCAAGCATTAAAACATCCCTTGTTTGTTGTTGTACCAGAAAAGATGAACCCCAGAGCTTGTTTGGATGGTTTAGAGGCTGACTAGTGACTACTGGCTAAGAAAGGCGGTTCTCAATCACAGGACTGGCTTAGCATTTTGTGTTGGAAGCAATGGGCCTCTGAATCACTAGCGACATGGGCTTGGACTATGATATTTTCATGGGCCTCCGAATCACAACGAGATGAAATATAAATATAAATACATGGTTTTCTTTTTCTTTTATGTTTTCTGTTTCTACCTTCTACTGGAAGATGAGATACAAATGCATCACATGGATCAAGGTGTTCAGTTTTGTCCCTTTGTTGTTTACATGTGTTTAATTAACCTGTTTATTTTAGTGCTCTTGTGCTTTACATATCTATGAATGCTGCAGCCCATAGCTGTTATATTCGTCTGGTTAGACGGTAAGGAGCAAAAGCTGTCAAGTTAGTAAATGTAAATCCAATTGGATGCTGCCAGAATTACTAACACAGAAAGATACAAGTTGAAGATATACAACTCAGTAATTAATAGAGAAGGCTATAATTTATAGTATATGCATCTTTCTGGTGGAATCTACATCAAACCAGTGGGAACGGTTAGTGTTTGAGTATCATATATATACAGTTCACTTTCTCTACCATGATGGGATCTCTTTCCCAAACATTTTCTTGACCTTCTTGCTTTCCTGGATGTCCAGGCTAAGCAACAAGATTGTCTTTGGCATCTGCTGTTTTGGAATATTCAGTTGCATGCCATCCATTTGTTTAAACAACTAAGAGAATTTTGATATATCGAAGGCCGAAGTCATCTCAAATTAATAATTGGAGAGCATCTATTTATATAAATATATATAAGCATATCGGTACCTGGACAAAAAATGTAAGCCCTTTTGCACCAAAAGATAAGATCTATATATTGTTCTATGTGACTGCGAATTTTCTACAGAGACAGCAACAAAGGTCTCATTCTCATATATAGGAATTTCCAATTTCCTTTTGTAGAGAATACTTCCCTTTATCCAAATATTTAATTTGCCAAAATACCCTCATGATTGATCGTGTCTTTCTTCAGGGATTCCTTTCGGACCTTATCTTAGTTGTTATGTCCTTTATGTGTTCACATGAGCGAGAAACCCCTTGGTAAGGGTAGTTTGTGATAAAACATGATTTCCCGAAACATTAATAGAATATGAAGCTGACATCTGCTGCCCACAAAGTCACTACCCACACTACAGCCACACGTTAGGAACATAGATAGGTTTAATTGCGAATAAAGTTGTGGACTCTAAAATACCACCCAATATCACATACAGTTTGTGAAACATATATAAACTTGGTTGTGCTTGAGAGATTTCCAATGCCACATACAGTTGGTCAATTGATTCGCAATCTTTTCTGTTTCCTGGAATATTCAATGGAAAAACTTGGGCTTCTCAACCTCATTCTTCTATTTCCATGAGTTACAACACATCGATATGGGTTATGTAATACCCTATTACCTCTAACACCTTAAGGTCTCTTTAAAGGTCATCATTACTCAATATTGGTCGGTCTGAGCTGTCTGGGGGTCCTGAGAGAGGGGTAGACTGGGTACGGGTTGCCCGTCCTCAAACTCGAACCCGCAATTTCACACTTGCCAACCCAAAATTTTACCATTATATCATGTACAAGGTCTCTTATATTCTTATATTGATGTTCCATATTGACTTTTGCATGACTTAAAAGACAATTGTAGCTGCAATTGGATTGGCACAACAAAGCAAGCTTTTCTGCTTTCAAATTTAATATGCCCATTTGGGACAGCTGAAACTTATTGAGCTGCTTTCACTGAGATGATTTGGAGAAGTCATTAAAAGAAACATCCGTGGAAAGTGGAAAGTTGCATTTTTTTTGGCTGCAAGCTAAATAGCTATGTCGGGCTTTCCAAGGTTTTCATCAAACATCAATTCCTCGGATGGGGCCCACCTTGTAAAGCCAAGAAGCCGCTAAAGCCCCATCCAAATGGGCAGATATTTATGCTTAAGTCACATAACCCCACTACCACTAGCTTTGGAGTCAAACTTTTATTAGATCACATAATCCAATATGCTTGCTTTTGATTGAAGTAGAAACAAATTGACTTCCACCCAAAGCAAAATAGTTGCTTGGACTGAAAACATGGTGATTAGTGAATTCAGCACGAACATGTGATAGTATACGTTAAACTTGAGTTTATCAATTTAAAGTTGGTTTGGTCCTACTAAAATCTAAACTCATGTGGATAATACGTATTAAAAAAATATCAATGTTCTGAAAACCGGACCAAACCGGGCTGCTGAACGGTAGAATCGGAAAACCAGTCCCGGTTTTGCATAACCAGCCGATTTTTTAACATTCTCATTTTTAGTACAGAAAGACAAAAAAAACTTAAAATTGGGCCAAACAGCCCCTAAGGTCCAATAGAAAAATCTCAATCTCAGCCAAAAATAAACCCTCTTCGATCGATCTCTGATTCTCTTCTTCCTCTTCAAACCTAACCTAAGTCCAGTGACTCCAGCCACCACCACCAGCACCTCGCCACTGACACCAGGTAGTCTCTCCCCTCCTCTTTCAGTCTTTCTTCTTCTTCTTCTTCTCGCCAATGGACTCTATTCACCGCGCGCATCCCTCTAGCTCTAGCAGCCGGTGTCATCATCATCATCATCTTCTTCTTCTTCTCTTTGGCAGTGGCGACGGTGCTCTGTTCACCGCCCTCTCTTAGTCTTCTTCCCTCTTTCCTTCTCCTCCTCCTCCCACTGCCTGAATCTGATTTTTGCAAAATTTAGCCATTTATTTTTTTAATTTTTGAACTTAAAATTAACTGATAGTTTTGTTACAAGTTTGATTTTTGTTCAGGCTTTTAGTCCACCAAATTCAGCCAAGATACATAGCTAGTTGTTTAGTCTTGCAAGTTAGCCTAAACCTTCTTGAAATCTTGAAATAAAAATTTAAACTTGAATAAATTGATTTCATATTTTGAATTTAGGTGATATTGATTTTGAAATAGCTGAACATTGGAATTAAATTTAGAATAGTGATAGTGATAATGTGATACTAAAATAGCTGAAAATTGAAATTAATTTTAGTTTATCATGAATGCATTATAATTTTTGAATTGATATTTCTTGAAATGCCTTTGTGATGATGGTAGTTATAATTAGGATTGAGTCTTGAACTTTATTGGATT